TTCTCTGTTACATTCTTTTTGTCTAATAGTTGCAAGATGAATGCTGCTTATCCAGGCATCACATCTACCTTCAGACTCAATAATATGGGTTAGGGACAAAAGGTTTTTACATCCCAGAGTTCTAGGGAAAATTAAATGAGCTAACACAGTGCCCAGAATAGTTAAGCTCTCAATAGGTATAAGTTATTAACAGTTCTGTATAATAAGGGAAATTTTCCTTATCCAATTTCTATAAACCCCATTTCATTCTAAACCCCAGGTCCAGGCAATATAATATACCACATCCTTCTGCCACATTAATAACTCCATTCACTCACTAGTTTATGTGAACAGTGTATCCTGGAATTGGGATGGGCACATCGTACTTGTCCATACATGGGTGGCACTGACCTCAGGATTCCAAGTAAATGACATACTCAACATTATTAACATTCTTAATATTCAAGTAAATGACACACTTCTATTATTAGTATTCTTGATAAATACAAAATATAGTTGTTATTCTTAATTTTGTAGTTTAGGAATTAGAGATTTTGAGAATTTGAGTAAGTGGCCTATCTTATATAATAAAAGGGTAATATGCAAACTCACCCGAACAGCAGAAAGACTGGGAATGACTGGTCACTATGACACACACTGACCACCAGGGGGCAGACGCTCAATGCAGGAGCTTCCCCCTGGTGGTCAGTGCACTCCCACAGGGGGAGCTCTGCTCAGCCACAAGCCAGGCTGGTGGCTGCCAGTACAGTGGTGGTGGCAGGAGCCTCTCCCGCCTCCTCAGCAGCGCTAAGAATGTCTGACTGCAGCTTAGGCCTGCTCCCCGCTGGCAAGTGGACATCCCCCGAGGGCTCCCAGGATGCCAGAGGGATGTCTGACTGCCAGCTTAGGCCCAATCCCCCCAGGGAGTGGGCCTAAGCCAGCAGGTGGATATCCCCCAAGGGGTCCCAGACTGCGAGAGAGCACAGGCCGTGCTAAGGGACCCCCTTAGTGCACAAATTTTTGTGCACTGGGCCTCTAATATATATATATATATATATATATATATATATATATATATATATATATATATATATTTGAATGAGATCATTGTGGTGATTATAGATTTCCATTACTTCAACATAAATTGTTATGCTTAAAAAAAATCCCACAACATTCCCAGTAAGCTACTGAATCAAATCTTATTCTTGGCCCTACCCTCTCCACTGTCTCCTTAGTTAACATTATTGGTGATGGGCTTTCACACACTCAGTTGTTTGAAAACATCTGGGAGTAGAGCTTAACATACTTCTGGAATGGTAGAGATTTATTTGTTCTGGCCCATTGAAAATGGAAATTAAGGGATTAAATTCAAGCATCCAAATATACTTAAGAAAAGAAATGACTTATTAGGGCTACTTGTTTTTAAATGAATGCAACCACGCAAATTAAGCCTCACACAAAGTTATGATTTAGATGCCTGATGCTAACGCTTGTGAACACCTGGTTTACAAGAATGAATGGGTCAAGCCAGTCACTATATCAGTGATGGCTAACCTTTTGAGCTCGGCGTGTCAGCATTTTGAAAAACCCTAACTTAACTCTGGTGCCGTGTCACATATAGAAATTTTTTGATATTTGCAACCATAGTAAGGTAAAGACTTATATTTTTGATATTTATTTTATATATTTAAATGCCATTTAACAAAGAAAAATCAACCAAAAAAATGAGTTTGTGTGTTACCTCTGACACGCGTGTCATAGGCTCACCATCACTGTTATATGTTATATATATATGAATGCCCATTAGCAAAATAAAACACTATTGAATACACCTAATAATAACGGGCCATATCATCTGTCTTGAGGGTATTACAGGTTTTTAATGTAAATTGGGAAAACATGATTGGAAAGTCTAATTCATATGATTTAAATCTTTAAGAGAAAAGGTCTTGTATAGCTCTCCCAACAAGTGCATGATATTTTATCAATTTTGATTAATTTCACTCCTTTGGATGGGATCCAAATGTCCCTATCTTAAATTCACTTCTAATTTAATAATAGTTACAATTTAAAGGATGTTAGTCATGTGCCAAACATAGAGATTATTTGAACTTCACACTTTGAACTTAAATTATAGAATTTCAACATTTTATTAGTAGAGATAGTCCACAAGAGTATTAATATCTTCTACTACATCTTGGGTCAGAACCCCAGAACCTTCAATTGATCTCACATTCTGGCTCCCTGAATTAATCTTATACTGGGATTAAAATATATGAGTCACTGCTATAGAGAAGATGAAACATTATTAGACAAAATGATTAAGTGGAAATATATATATATATATATATATATTTTAAAAATCAGAACACCAAGTAAGTAGACATGCTCAATAAGTAGATTAAGAACATAACTATTTAGCATTATAAATTTTTCATTAAGATGTTCAACATAAAATTTCATCCCCATATTATATAACTTTTTGGATTCTGTATATTATACTTCTTAAACAGAAATAAACATTTATGAAAACAAATTGTGTAAAGGTAATTACTTCAAATCTATAATATACTTTTGATGTAAAGTGTGCTGTCCTAGAGCATATCTTTGTAGATCAATTTCCCTTCTAGTAAACCAAGGTGTTCATAAAACAAAGCACTTAAATGGTTAACATGAAAGATTCAAGAAGAAAGGGAAAATTGCAAGATCTACAATTTCAAGAAAATTGTATTAATCCACAAAGCAGTGTACCATTATAAAGAACTAAAGGGAGGAATAACCATGTCAGGAAAGTATATCATGTCTAAAAACAAACTGAATAACTCTGTTTTGTTTGTTTTTGTTTTCCCATGAATTGGCTGTTTATGTTGACTGATAACAAAAGGAAGTTTATTTATAAACTTTAAGATTAAAAGAAATGTGAAAACAAATAGCTAAAACTTTGAAAAAACTGATCATGAATTGCTTCTCTCTATACCTGAATTCTAGAGTCATATGAAAATCAATGACTATTACTTCTGTATTTGATTATATTGCGTATTCATTCACTCAGCAAACATTGTTGAAGTTAACCCTAGACTCAAGACTTTCTGCTAAGTGCTGGGAAGCCACAACTCTGGTCTTAGAGTTGTTCAGATTTATAGAGGAGACAGGCAGAGAAATAGGTAAATTTGAATCAAAGAACAATGATAACAGCATATGAAAATTATGGTGTAAATAGGCATAGATTTTGTGAGTGGTAGGAGCACATAGGAGAAGAAAGAGGCAAAATAGGGAAGAAGGTGAATTGAGTTTAGAGCATATGTACTTTGATGTATCTACAGCATCTCCAGGCAAAATATTGTGCTGGCCTTAAGCCTGTGTGCCCTGAGATGCATTCTCGGTCTTTCTCCTGCCCTCTTCCCAGAGTAGCTGCTCCCTGGGCTGTTTCCCTGCCACTTGGCTTCAGGCTGGATTTGATTAGGCACTGACAGAGATTGGAAACTGGGAGGAAGGAGAAACTGGGATATTACTCTCCATCCTGTCTGTCTCAAGATATACTAGTATTTCTAGTATTTCCCTCTCCCAATAAGACAGACCTGTCCTGGTTTCAGCAATCCCTACAGGGACAGCGGCTTCTTTCTGCTACCTTACTATCTCCTGCTTGGTTTCTCAGGCTCTCCCATGAGTATATAATAATTGCTAGGCTTTAAATACTCAGAGTGGTGTCCACAGAGTCTGGATGGTAGATTTGGGACTAATCAACAAGCATTGATGAGAGTATGCAGAGAGGGTGGGGAAGCAGACTGGTGGACTGAGGATGGAACCCTGGGGAACATGGCAACACAGAGAGGAAGCACAATCTTTAAATAAATCCAGATTTTTTTTTAAGTAGAATCAGAAATATGTGATGTCTGCTTAAGTCCACTAGGCACCTTAGGCATCACTTAGACCCTGCATTTGTTGGATGAGGTTTGAGAAGACAGAGAGATCAGGTCATTAGTTAGGTATCAGGACCAGCTTTGAAACCCAATTCTGGGTTTCCTAGTTCCCTATCTAGTGTCCTTGTGATATTGTGCCTTTAATCATTCTTTCAATGGCACGTGATTTGGCATCGTTTTCATGGGTTCAAGTCACTTGCTTTTATCTTGTGTGCTGTTTACACTTCAGTTTCTTTTTATGTAAAACCAGTACATGGTATGATTGACCTATATAGGTAATTTTAAGAAATAAACGACATAATACATGAAAGTACTTGGAATAGTGTAAAATAATAAGGGTAGTTAAAATTATTGAGAGGTTGGTAAATTCTTGCAGAATAACAGTGCCATCTGATCTTATCACAATATTATGAAAAATAAGCCAGTCATTGTGTACTTACAGATACTGGTTACATTTTTGCTAAAGTTAAGGGTGGTTTGTGTTGTCTTTTTGTTTTGTTTTGGTTTTTGGGTTTTTGTTCTTTTTCATCTGTAATAATCTTACCATTTGTTAATACAACCAAATTTAATTTCAAATTAGTTTTTCACTTTAGAAGTTAGTTCAGTCATTATTACTTTCATTTTTGGCAAAATAATTTTTATACCATTAGTTTCTTCTTAGCTCTATATATTTAAGAATTTTTATTGACTTAAATGAGCTTTCATGATTTATTTTTTATTTGAATGGTATTTTAAACAAAAAAATGTTTTAAAATGTGAAGATTTTCTTTTTCCTAAGTCTTCTCTCTGTCATGTCATCATTCTCATTCTTCTTCCTCTTAATTTTTTAAGTATGAACACTTAAATGTTAAACATGAACAAAGAAATTAGACAATTAAATGTTAAATATGAACAAGGAAATTGGACAATTGTTAAATGAAGTTATAAAATCATTCTAATTTAGTAAATAATGTTGATACCAATGACTCATTTCATAGTGCTCCTGCCATTAGTATCCATTAAAATGTTAATTTAGAAGTCAACATTCATGTTTAAAAGAAGAACACTTCTAGTGTAGCCTATAGATTCAATCAAAATTTAGTATCATAAATTTTAACTTACCTTCAGTGTCTGATAGGCCCACTCCTACTCCTGGCTGTTTTATAGGATCTTGCCCATTATGCCCCATCTTCCCTCTGTTCATAAAGAAAATAATAAAATTATACTATTTTCAGTTATGCTTTCCTAAATGTAAATGAGGAAGCCAAGTTTGCAAAAAATAGAATAACATTTTATATTCATATCTGCAATAAATTTCCTGAATGGCAAATATAAATACAATAAATTTTTCTATATAGTGTTAATTTTAAAATGAGAATTTGTTTATTATTCCTACATGGTCTAACCTAATACCTCAAAACTCAGCGTCTTAATTGTTGACTCATTTATGATCAGACCAGCATGACATTTTGAAATTTTGTTTTAGAATTTGAGAGTGGTTATTTTTCCATTTTAAACTCAAAACTGAGAAGGGTTTTTATATATTTACACTTTTTATGATGAGTTGTATTGATCCTTTGGTGAGAATGAAAATTGTGAATTAAATTATATAAAATCATATTGCAATAACACAGACTTTTATTTCACTTAGTGGCTTCCTTTCAGATCCTTCCTGTGTTTTCAGCTAGATGGAGCATATTGGGTTTTGAAGTCAGACCGCTTGGTTTCTGCTTCCAGCTTTGTTATTTCATGCTGTGTGTCATCCAAGGCATATCTACCTAATCTGATGAAGACTATTTCTTCTTTTGTAATAGAAGGGTAGTCACATTAGCCACCTTCTGGTTATGAGAAAACTACATGAAAAAATATATGTAAAGTGCTTAACACTGTGCTTAAAACATGATAGAATTCAATAAATAGAAAGTGTTAATAGGCATGCACATAATGGCCTTAGGATTCAGCCAGAGTCTGCTGTTCATTTTTAGTTGCAGCCTCAAACTTTTTGGAAGGCCAAATAGATAATTTATGATACTGGAAGTACTGTGGGTTCAGAATATTGATAATATAACAGGCAAAAGACTATAGGCTATTTCTTTAGTTAGAGGAAAGCTGCATAACATAAAAAGTTTTTGGAATCGCATTGTATGTACATATATAAGATGTAAAAAAAAAGGAATAAAAATGTTTAAGTATTCAAAAGGATGCTTGAACAAAAGAACATCTTGATACTCTACTTTCTAGACAATAATTCTAACATAGCAGGATTTACTAACAATTCTTACTTTCACAAAAATATTTGGTTAGCTAAAAATGTAACCATATTTATTTCTTAAGAACCTAATTATACCATATTACCCAAAGCAATATACAGGTTTAATGCAGTCCCTATCAAAATATCAATGGCATATTTCACAGAACTAAAACAAGTAATCCTAAAATTTATATGGAACCAACAACGGAACCCAAATAGCCAAAGCAATAAAATAAAAGAACAAAGTACCTGATATCAACTACACTACAATGTTATAGTAACAAACTGATGGTCACATGATGGGAAGGCGGTTGAGTGGATGAGTATAAAAGATGAAGGAATTAAGAACTACAAATTGCCAGTTATAAAAACAGACACGGGGATATAAAGTACCGCACAGGGAATATAGTCAATAATCCTATCTAATAAAAGAGAAACATGGTAATTAGCGTACAACCGCTACCCTTCCCATTGGCTAATCAGGGCAATATGCAAATTAACTGTCAGCCAAGATGGCGGCCAGCAGCCAGGCAGCTTAAAGTGAACATGAGGCTTGCTTGCCTCAGTGACGGAGGACTCCAACATTCCCCACCTGCCCCTGCAGGCCTCTGAGCTGCAACTCTAAGCAACTATGTTACAAATATAGAAGCTAAACAAAACCCCAGAAACCTGCTTTAGTCCGTCGGGCTTCAGCCAGCAGGATCGCAACATTGTTTCAAATACAGAAGGTAAACAAAGGCCAGAAACCTGCTTTCAGCAGCGGAGGCCTAAGAGCTGGAGCCAAGCCTCAAAGCTAAAGCTGGCCCAGAATAAAAAATAAATAAAAAAAGGAGCGGTTGGGAGCTTCAGTCACTTGCCAGCCTAAAAACAGCCCTCAGCCCCTCACCCAGACTGGCCAGGCACCCCAGTGGGGACCCCCACCCTGAAGGGTGTGTGACCAGCTGCAAACAGCCATCATCCCCTCACCCAGGCTGGCCAGGCACCCCAGTGGGGACCCCCACCCTGATCCAGGACACCCTTCAGGGCAAACCAGCCAGCACCCACCCATGCACCAGGCCTCTATCCTATATAGTAAAAGGGTAATATGCTTCCCAGCACCGGGATCAGCGGAGCTGAGAGGCCTCCCGGCACCGGGATCAGTGTGACAGGGGGCAGCGCTAAAACCCCCTGATCGCCCTGTGGCTCTGTGTGTGACAGGGGGCGGGGCCACAACCTCCCTATCTGCCCTGCTCTGTTCGTGACAAAGGAAGGCGCCCCAACCCTCTGATCAGCCCTGCTCTGTGCCTGATAGGGGGAGCTCCCCAACCGCATGATCGCCCTGCAGCTCTGTGTGTGACATGGTGCGGCGCCCCAACCCCCTGATCGGCCCTGCTCTGTGTGTGACAGGGGGCAGTGCCCCAACCCTCTCATCGGCCCTGCTCTGTGACGGGGTAGAGCCATAACCTCCCCATGGGCCCTGCCCTGAGTGTGACAGTGGCGGCGCTCCAACCCCCTGATTGGCCCTTCTCTGTGTGTGACAGGGGGCGGTGCCCCAACTCCCCTATCGGCCCTACTCTGTGAGTGACAGGGGGGAGCTCCCCAACCCCCTGATGGTCCCTGCTCTGTGTGTGACAGGGTATGGAGCCCCAACCCCCTGATTGGCCCTGCTCTGTGGGTGACGGGGTGGTGCCGCAACCTGCCCATCGACCCTGCCTTGAGTGTGACAGGGGGCTGTGCCCCAACCCCCCAATCGGCCCTACCCTGAGCGTGACTGAGGGTGGCATCGCAACCTCCCGATCTGCCCTGCTCTGTGCATGACAGGGGGTGGTGCCTCAACTCCCCAATCGGCCCTGCTCTGAGCCCGACCAGGGGCTGCACCTAGGGATTGGGCCTGCCCTCTGCCACCCGGGAGCAGGCCTAAGCCAGCAGGTCGTTATCTCCCGAGGGGTCCCAGACTGCGAGAGGGCACAGGCCGGGTTGAGGGGGCCCCCCCCTTCCCCCCGAGTGGACAAATTTTTGTGCACTGGGCCTCTAGTATTGCAATAACTACGTATAGTGTCAGATGGGTAGTAGACATCAGGGTGATCACTTCATAAGATGTATAAATGTCTAATCACTATGTTGTACTAGTTGAAACTAATAAAATATTGGATGTCAAATATAATTGAAAATAAATTTTTAAAATGAATCAAATGATATCTTAATTGAATACTGCTCTAAAGATCCTGTTATCATTTTACTAAAAATGGTTTAGCACACTATGAAAAAGAAATAGATACAAATTCAGAAATTATTTTATCTTGCAAGCCATTACATTGTCTCATTTTGACATTCAAGGTCAAAGGTTTAAGCACCAATTTTTATTAACTGACTGTGAAACACCAAGTGCATCCAAAAATATTAGAAATTACATACATACACATGTACATTTATTTTGGTATATGGTGTAAATAAGTTGTCTGAGTTCATTTTTTGCATATATCTGTTCAGTTTTGCCAACAATACTTACTAAGGAGACTGTACTTACTCTATCATATATCCTTGCATCCTTTGTCATAAATTTTTAAACCATATACCAAAATAAACTCAAAATAAAGACTTAAATATTAGACCTGAAATTATAAAACTTCTAGAAGAAAACAGGCAGTAAACTCTGATATTACTCTCAGCAATACCTTTTTAGATATATCTCCAAAAGCAAGGGAAACAAAAGAAAAAAATAAAGAGGACTAAATCCAACTTAAAAGTTTTGGCACAGCAAAGTAAGCTATCAGCAAAACAAAAGACAGCCTACTAAATGGGAGAACATATTTGCAAATGATACATCTAATAAGTGGTTAATATAAAAAAGTAAGAACTGCCCAGCTGTCATGGTTCAGTGATTGTGCATCGACCTATAGCCAGGAGATCACAGTTGGTTTACTGGTCAGGGCACATGCCTGGGTTGTGGGCTCAATCCCCAGGAGGGACTGTGCAGGAGGCAGTCAATCAATTATTCTCTCTGTGTCTATCTCTTTCTTCCTCTCCCTTCCTGTCTGAAATCAATAAAAATACTTAAGAAAATAATATAAGAACTCATATAACTTTACCAAAAAAAAAAACCACACCCCAAGATACCAATCCCATTAAAAATGGGCAGATGCCTCGGCTGCTCAGTGGTTGGAGTAACAGCCCTGGCACCAAAGGGTCTCAGGTTCAATTCCTGGTCAAAGGCATGTAACTGGGCTGCAGGTTCAATCCCCTGCTGTTCAAGGTGGGGGCGCATGCAGGAGCCAACCAGTATATGTGTCTCTCTCACATCAATGTTTCTCTCTGTCTCTCTGTCTCTCTGTCTCTCTGTCTCTGTCTCTGTCTCTCTCTCTCTCTCTCTCTCTCTCTGTCTCTCTCTCTCTCTTCACCTCTTTTCCTCCCTTCCACTCTCTCTATAATTCAATAGAAAAAATATCTTTGTGTGAAGATTAATAAAATGAATAAATAAATAAATAAATCATGGGCAGAGTACCTGAATAGACACTTCTCCAAAGAGGGCATAGAAATTTCCAACAGACATATGAAAACATGCTCAACATCACTAATCACCAGGGAAATGCAAATTAAAACTACAATGAGATTCCCCCTCACACCTGTCAGAATGGCAATCATCAGTAAATCAACAAACAGTGCTAGTGAGGATGTGGAGATAAGGAAACACTTATGCACTGTTGCTGGGATTGTAAATTAGTGCAGCCACTATAGAAAAATAGTATGAGATTCCTCAAAAAATTAAAACTAGAGCTGCCATACCATTTAGCAATTTCACTTCTGAATATTTATCTGAAAAAAACCAAAACCACTAATTTGAAAGATATATACAGCTCTTTCTTTATTGCAGCTTATTGTCATAGCTAAGATATGGCAGCAAATTAGATGTCCATGGATAGATGAATAGATGAAGAAGATGTGGTATATACAAAAACTTGCCATTAGCAACAATATGGATTGAACCATGGAGTATTATGCTAAGTGCAGTAAGTCAGACAGAAAAAATACAAATGATGTCTGATTTCACTTAATGTAGAATCTAAAAATCACCAAAATAAATGAATAAACAGAAACAGACTCATAGATATAGAGAACAAGCTAACGGTTGCCAACGTGGAGATGGTGGGGAGATGGAAATTTAAAAAAAAGAAAAGATAGTGAAGCCACTATCCCAGAAAGAAATTTTAAAAAGGGAGGAAGGAAGGAAGGAAGGAAGGAAGGAAGGAAGGAAGGAAGGAAGGAAGGAAGGAAGGGAGGGAGGAAGGAAAGAAGGGAGGAAGGGAGGGAGGAAGAAAACACAGACAGACTTTTCTGTAATGTTCTGTGCAATCATGTGATTCACATTGCTAAGTCTCCTTCCCAGGAAGGCATATTACCTAAGGATTTTTTTTTAAAAAAAGTCTTGCCTAAGTAATCCACAAAACTTCAATTTGTATAATTGCTTCTGTGAGATTCAAGATAAGTAGTTGATCATTTAAAAAACATTAATTTTCCTCTGTTACAAATAGGGAGAAAAACTCAACAATACAGCAGCCATCTCACCTTTAACAGTACACCATCCTAGTAGAATGAGCCAAACTCAGTTCAAAGTGTGGATCATTTTGGTAGTGGTAATCTAGCAGATGAGAGTACTGAAAAAATATTATCTTATACTATGTCAAGCTTTAACAAAATAATTATAATTTTTAGTAATTGTAACAAAATAACTTTTGATATTCTTTATTTGATCTTGAGTCCTAGAATTCATTTTAATGGTGAGAGTTAGCTGCAGTCATTGCTTCTAATGAAAACTGATTTTAACATTAGGTACTTAGCTAAAATGTGTACCTGGTGCATTTCTACAATTACCTAGAAAAAATTTAATATATGTTTTTATTAATTTCAGAGAGAAAGGGAGAAGCAGAGAGAGAGAGAGAGAGAGAGAGAGAGAGAGAGAGAGAGAGAAACATCAATGGTGAGAGGGAATCATCGATTGGCTGCATACACTGGAGATCCAGCCTGCAACCTGGGCATGTGCCCTGACCGGGAATTGAACCATAACCTCCTGGTTCATAGGTTGATGCTCAATCACTGAGCCATCTGGCTGGCTATCTAGAAAATTTTTACAGCATTATGAAACTAAATGAAGTATAAAGGAAATGTACCTGTGAGTCATGTGAAGTATGCAATTTTTCTGAATTCCCAATAAATAATCTTCAGCTCAGAACATTCTGACTACACAGTTTAGAATTCATATTTGTTAGTCACTCACCAAATAATTACTGAGCACTTATGCTAGTGCAAGCAATAATTGTGCTGGACACAAAGAGACATAACTACTAAATACTGCTTGTACATATGTATATTCTGTAATGCTTTAGAAAAGAGAACTATTTTGTGTACTCATATGGAAAAACAATAGCTTCCTAAGCAATTTTGAAAGGCTTTGATTTACAAGAGAAATATGAAAATGGGAAAAAAATATTGGATTCTGTTATGTATGTAAAAATACATAATCTGCGTCTATTCAGATATTAAGGAAATAATATAGTTTATGCTCTGAAAGTTATAACTTTATCATCAGTGTTAAATTAGTATTTTGAAAGGTAAGGAGAAATCGAAAGATTGTTAAGGGATGTGTGGTGTAAACCTTTATAATTTCATATGAAATTTGCAATTTATAGAGAGGAATTTAATGAATTTGCTAAAATTCTCTTCCATCAAATTGGATCACCAGAGGCTGTGAAACAATGAGATCAGACTTCTTTTAGAAATAATTTTCAATGAAAAAGAATTAAATACAAATAACTGTATTGATCCATAGCTAAAATCTTAAAAAAACAAAGATGAACAGGTGATCTAATAATTACTCATTTTAAGCAGGAAAAATGTAACTTAAAAATAACAATATAAACACATTTTTCACTGTACAAATACATTTCCTCTAAGATTTTGAGACTCAATTTTGTAAATTGAGCCATTATCTAAATATTAGTACCATTCTGGATATCAAAAGGAAAGAATAAAAACCATGACATTAAAACAAAGAGAAAAGGAAGTTCCACCCCCAAGAAAGTCTCACTCAACATGGGAGAAAATGAAAAGGACACTTTCCCAGGGTTCCAGCGAGGGGTCTGTAAGCTTTTTCTGTGAAGGACCAGATAGTAAATGACTTGAACGGTCTCTTTTGCAACTACTGAAGATTGCCCAGGGAGTGCAGCATTAGCAACACTTAAATGAATGGGTGTGGCTGTGTTCCAATAGAAACTTGTGGGCCTGAAATTTCAATTTCGTAGGACTTTCCTGTGTCACCAAATGCTATTCTCTCCTGTTTTTTGTTGTTGTTTTTTTGTGAGTGTTTTTTCCTTTTTCAAACATTTAAAATTTCAAAAGCTATTTTTAGCTTACAGATCTAACAAAACCAGGTGGCAGGCTGGATTCACCCTGGCCTAGATTCTGGAGCTGTGGCGTTTTTGAAAGCCCAGAAAACTAGTAGTGGGGAGGAGAAAGAAAGGTCATTGTTTCAATTTTTATATTGGAACAGATATGACCTACATATTTATTTTGGTTGCTGCTGGATTTTGCCACCCATATGACTAAATCCATTCTAAAAACAATCTTACATTTGATTGGCAATATGATTTTCTTTAGGTTTAATGTATTATAAATGAACTTTATTCCAAGAGTATCTACTCAGGGATCTATGTAAGACTTGATATTTGTTCTAGAAAATTTGGGCAAAAATCTTCAATTTTAATTGTAGTGAGATTTATAGTTGAAAAAATCTATATAAGCAGCCTAATGTGTTATCTATTTCAAATAAGACATGAGTTCTTTAAATATGTTTAATCTCTCCTGATTCAAAGTAAATTAATCTGCTTCTCTCCAATCCCAATGATGTTTGTGTTTGTTCAGTATTTGATTAAAGCATGATTCAGGCATGGCTAATCAATTTCTATCAGTTTTTTTAATTTAATACAAATTGCACTAAATAAGTAAAGCTGGTAGTGACCATCATTCATCCTTCGAATTAACTAAATGAATCCAGTCTTTCCTAAACAGTGTATTTTTTTTTTTAAGTGTAACCATGAACAGTTGAAGCGTTTCAGGGACAATGACTCAGAATTGGATAATTATCTAGTTATTTCCTGTTAAATGTTAAGAAAAGCTTACTCATGATGCTGTTAGCTTTGTAGTGAGAAAAAAAGAGCCACTTACATCCTTGGAATAGGAAATAGATTAGTCTCCCCTGCAGTGCTGCTGCTTCCTTCACTGTCCACGCTATACCCACTGCCGAAGCTGCTGCCCGAGGAGCCGGTGGACACGGAGCTTTCTGCAGGCCGGTGATTGGTGGGCTTTGCTGCATGGTGTGGGAAGAGTCAACACCACAGTCAATCAGTGACACTACTCCCAGTGACCTCCAAATGCATACTTATGCATTTTCTTCATTTATATTGATAAAGAAACAGCTTTGGCAAGAACTCCACATTTTTTAATCTGCCTTTCATTTTGTTTTCCTTAACAGATAATGCACACAGTCCTTGATTGTTATTATTAGACATAAAGGAAAAAAAAAACAATCACTTTTAAAGGATAAATCATCATATTTTAGACTGAGTTAAGTAGTATGTAAGTATTCTATTATTATTATTTGTGATTTATTTGTACAGTATTGCAATAATATGGCAAACAAATAAGAATGTTGGCTATTTCATGGAGAAAGGAGTTTAGAAAGACTTGGGCAAATATAAATAGGCGGATAAGGAAAAATTGCTTAATTATTTTCCATATTAATAACTAATAATGTTTTTCTCTTGAGAATTGAAGATGCACAATAGATAATTTCAAGAAGTGACTGAAAATTCTGGGCTTGTTTGTATGTAGCTCTACCAACTATCTCCAGCAGGTTATTTAATTTTAAGATATTTGTTTCCTTTTAGGCACCTCTTAATTTATGACTGGGACTTATTTTAAAATTTTAATAAGTTTAATTTTGGGGGGATATAAGAATCTATATTCCCATAGAAACATAATAATTTTGTTCTGCAAATTATTCAGCAAGAGTATAGTACTAATATTGTTAGGGAAGTTCTAGATTAGAGGAGATTAGGGGAGAACTTTTGATGTAAAAAGAAGAGAAGGCAAGTGTATCTCTTATTTTTGTAGAGAGAAGATGCTCTAGGCAAATTTTTGAAATCGTTATCTACCTTCTTCTATCTGGTCAGTTTAAGAGTATGAGCTTTGATCATATTGATGTGATTTTGAATCCCAACTCATTCTGTAGTAAACCTAAGAAGTCTCAGTCTCCTCATTTGAAAATAATGGGGTCAGTAATGCCTGTCTCCTAAGCTTGTGATTGTGAGGAGTGAGAGAAAGCATGAGCCCAGTAACCGATTCTTCTTCATCCTGCCATCTCCCCACTCTCTCCTTATTGGCTGTTCCCCAGTGTCTTTGAGTATACCTCGTCCCTGACAGTTAGTTTGCCTGGCTCCTCATTTAATTGTAGACATGTTCTAGGCTACTAAACTAAGAGGCTCTCTTCCAATCAGAAGTTTCGTAAGCAGATAGCGTCACACCACTGGATGAATAGTTGGTAATTCTTTAATGATCCTAAGATATCTACATTTTTCTTAAGAAACAATATACAAGCATGACAACTCTTGATGTGTTGGAATTTTAATGTAATCAATATAACCACGTGAAGTGAAAAATATAGACATGGTGAGGGAAACCATGAGAGGGCAGGAAAACCATCATCAGGGCAGTCAGGATTAATCTTGAAAAAGTTTCAGCATTTCCCTCATTTCAGGACAACAGATTCTCTAAAGCTACCAGACAGTTTTATATCTATTCCAGTGATAGTAGTATCAGTTTCTCAGAACAGAGGGGGAAATGTGTATTAGTCAATTACATATCAGGTATAAGTTGGAAATAGCTATTTGGAAAAAGGCTTGAATCTTGTTAAATAACTAATGACCAATAAATTACTGGTAACCCATAGGACTAGATTTGCTGAAACAGAATGATAATTACAATGTTTGCTTAATTTTTCTTCAATTTATGTAGAAGAAACCCAGATAGAGTATTTGGTGTTATAGAAAATAATTTAAAAAATAATTTAAAAAATGAAAAGATAACATCACTATGATATAAAGTTATAAGCATTTATAAAGTAAATTAAATTGCCACATAATGAGTCAGATTAGTCAATTGATTGTAAAGAAAGGAACGCTGTCATACTTTTTGGTTGTCATTATATAATCCAACCAACAAGACTGTTTATAGTTTTTAGTATGATATTGAATAAAACATTTTAATTTTATTGACCATAAAATCACAATATACTATCTTCAAAGACAAATCTTAACAAACATTAATTTTAAATCAATTTATTTCTACTAAATTAAAACAATTTTCATCCAAGAGCAATCTCACAATGTATCAAAATAGCTACATTATAGAAAGGATGTCTTATTATTTACATTAAAAACATATTAAATCTTTTCTTTTGTGAACTTTGAATTTCCTGATACAATTTCTAGTTCTATTCCCTTCTGGGAAACTTCAAATGCAAATATGATATAAGAAGAAAGGAACAAGGCTAGAAGTAAATTTAACAAAAGACAGTGTTGGTTTTCTTTGTCTTGTCTAGGGCAATAGAAATCTCATTCAGAAAGCCTGTGCAAGCGCTGTCCATTTAAATGCAAACAAATAATCTTTTATAAATGCAAAAGGAAAAAAAACACACAAATCTATGGAACATATAAGTCTTGTCTACCTAATATTTTTGCAAACAAAATTCATGTAAGATTATGTCTAAAGAGATGTTGGGTAGTTATGTTAGGTAATTAATTTAAATAAATCTAGGTGTTTGGCATTACCTTAACAAAACATCTACTGCTTTACTGTATTTTTTATTCTTAACCTGGTCATGTAAATGTGGAGTAGAACTAGATAGCCTGACATTTGGTTTGCTTCTGAAAATTAGTTCAATTAAGATGCAGAATGGACCTTTGCTTTTTACTGGGCTATATCTACCCTTAGCATAAGCAATTTTAGCTAAATCTGGAGTTTGCCTCCCGGAGTCCTTTATCATCTGTTTCTTTCCAAATGTATCTCTCATGATTCCCCTTCAAATGCTTTACCTGGAACGCCACTCAGGCCATTCCCTCTGGCCCCCTTTGTTTGGCTTTGTTTCTCCTGAGCTACGGCTGGGGCTATTCTTTCCAATTTTGTCATGCTTCTTCTGCCCCAGACACTTTTTCACACCTAAATTATATTTATCAGTCAAGGCCCAGCTCAGATCAGTAAAGGCCCTGCTTCATGCATTTTCCTTATCTTGCCAATCAGAAGTGAACTCTCAAAGCATAAGATCAAACATCTTTTCTTGACAATCACCACTTTTTGTCTTTGATTGTAGTTGTTATATTCATGTCATTGTTGAAAGCAGAACCTGTGTTTTCTCCATTGTAGCCTCCTTAAAAGCTTATCCTGGAACTATGCTGAAGAAATATTTACTAAAAGTAATAAATTAATCATTGTTTCCCTTAACCAAATAACTAAAACAGCTGAATAATTTAGTAATATCTCACTAACTGTGTGTTTTATATAAATCATACACTTCTCAGCAACAGCAACTTTAATGTCATACTGTGTGGAAAAATTTGATCATTCAACAAAATGTTTTGCAACAAGATGTTTTGTTTTCCCAATCCTCACAAAACTTGTTTGGTTGAAAGAAATAATGATAATACACTAAGCACAAGAGAGCATAGCTTTGTGACCTTCAAAATAAGTTCATAACCGACCATGGATATTTATCTATTATATAAAAGGCTAAGCGACTGTCCAACCAACCGGCCAGTAGGTATAACAGGTGCAGCTGGCCGGGGAGGGACCGAGGGAGGTTGGCTCCAGGACATGTCCAACCCATCTCACCCAGTCCCGCACCGCTGGCCACCATCTAATTAATTTCCTTTCAATGTGCACAAATCCGTGCACCGGGCCACTAGTTATATATAAATATTTAAATTGAAATGATAGAAAATAATATGAATAGTAACAATGCATCGGAACCACTTATAGACACTAGTACTTGTGCTAATCCCACTTCTTATCTTTGTATTTCTGTTCCCGAAGAAAATATTTTAAAACATTAAATAAATATGGTTTCTATAATTTTATGATTTTAAAATTAAAAATGAAAAAAAAAATCCCACCTCTGCTTAACTTTTAATCAGAGTTTCAGAAATCATGGACCTATTATGCGTGAGTATATTATGTGCCTATGTATTACATATGAGAATGTTTGTTTTACAGAAGAATTGAAGTTTCTTTAAGAAAACATTTTTGGAACCTACATTTTGTGTGTGTACTTTCTTTGTGAATTCCTGCTTGTACTACCAAGTACTGACTAGGAGAAAGAATGTATTAAGTAAGCATATGAGTAAATATGCACACTCTTGCAGAAAGGGTCCTGCTCCCTAGAGGAATAAATCCTCGGGTCTTGAATCATTTTTGAGACTCAGTGATTGTGGGGCATTTCAGGTAAACAAATTGTATCTTCTGTGAGGCAATGTAACCTGCCTTCAATTATTTTTGACCTCTTCATTTTCTTCGGATGAAAGATGGTTAGACATCATTGTTTTATTACTCTACTGTGGCTAATCTTAATTAAACCTGATCGTGTCTCTTTGACTGAACATCTGTCTTCAATTAGTTTGCCCTGTGTTAGTGCAATAGTACTTAAAAATGCAGACCTATCACTGTTCCTACCACATGGTGGCAGCGCTGTGCTCAAAGTCTGCAGATCAGAATTGAAGACAACTTGACAATTGTGAAACCCTGGAGATCAACAAAAAGCTGCTAAGGACTCTAGAGATAACAGGCTCCTGACCCATGATTTCGCCTAGAGGAAAACTGAGCTCAGGAAAGATTAAGTAACTTGTTTCAGTTCATACGCTAATTAATGAGAAAGAAGCAAAACTAAAACAACCACTAATCCACTTTTCTATCACATCCAATTATGTCAGATTAAGATTGTGAGGTTTTTGCCCAGCCAGCCTGGCTCAGTGAACTAGGAGGTCATGGTTTGATTCCTGATCAGAGCACATGCCCAGGTTGTGAGCTCCATCCCCAGTGTGGGGCGTGCAGGAAGCAACCAATCAATGATTCTTTCTCATCATTGATGTTTCTATTTCTCCATCCCTCTCCTTTCCTCTCTAACCTTCCTCTTTGAAATCAATAAAAATATATTTTAAAAAACTTTGAGGTGTCTGCATGTTTCAGAATTTAGAATTCAGTGCTAGGAATGTATAATGCCCTGCTGCCTGTGATTTCTATCATTCGTTTTATATCGTT